CCAATCTGCGAGAAGCCAGAACTCGCGCTTGGGCCGCAGATTTTGAGCCAGTTAGGCTGGCTCAGCCCCACCAATTGTGAGCTGCTGCCTCAGCGCAGAAAGAGGGGGCGATCCTGAAGTTGCACCACATCAAGGTAGATTCCAATCTAGATTGCGCTCTGAGTGTTGCGACTGAAGTTCCTCCAAAACTAGGGGAGATTCAGCCTTAGGAAGAGAGGAAAAGGCTCTGGGCGGAAAGCTGGGGGGGGCTTTGCTTTACCATCTTCTAAGGCTCTGGAGGATTTAAGTAACTTAACTGTGCTTGCTTACCAATACCAGAATTACAGAGTTGGAAGGGATCTTTGGAGGTTTCTAGTCCAGAGATCTCCAACTTGGCAACTTTCTCTGCCTGGGCCTGATGCTTCCTGAAAGGAAGGGGGTCTCTCCGAATGGGACCCCCTCCCCAAAAGGCTGGCCCCAAAGCCCTAGCCCTAGCTCTGAGCTCAGAGATCTTCAACCTTGGCAGCTTTAAGATTAAGATTGTGGACTTCAACTCCCAGAATTTTCCAGCCAGCATAGCTGGCTGGGGAATTCTGGGAGTTGAAGTCTTCCAGGTTTAAAGTTGCCAAGGTTGGAGATCTCTGGACTAGAAGATAATTCATGGCATAAATGATGACCGGTCAAAAGTGCGAGGACCTGTCAGAAATCACTTTTTTCAGCCCTCTGGGTAGTCTCTATGTGCATATGGACTACTCAGAGGGCTGAAAAAGTTATTTTTGACCTGTCCTCGCACTTTTGACCAGTCCTTGAACTTACGACTGTCCTCACATTTTACGTTTTGCGCCCTATCTTGTCACCGTGGTGAAGAGAAGTAGTGCTGAAATGACTGACATGGTTGTTAAGAATGCCGCAACAGGCATAAATGTAAGGATGGTCATAAGTGCAAGGACCGGTCAAAAGTGCGAGGATCAGTCAGAAATGACTTTTTTCAGCCCTCTGAGTAGTCCCTATGCACATAGCCATGCCCACCCAGTCACATGACCAGCTAGCCACACCCACCCAGTCATATGACCACCAAGCCACACCCCCAACTAAGCCACGCCCACAGAACCGGTTGTTAAAAAATTTGAATCCCACCACTGAGTAAAGGTAAGTAGAACTCACCCCTGGTTAGCACCCACTCCTCTCCTAGAAGAATGAAATACTTTGAGAAATATTTAAAAAGGCAGAATATTATATTTTCCCTAAAAGTGAAAGAGAAAACTTTAAGGAAACAGGAACTTAGAGCCACAGTTCCCTGCCCCCAACCAGATACTAAGCTGAAGCCAGCTTTTAGAAAAGCAGATTTGGTCATCCATTCAAGACATGAAATTTTGAACAAAGGCAGAATTAGGTAGAATGGTAGGGTCAGCCCTCACTCAAGATCCAAACCAGGAAAGCCTTAAGACACAATAGGAATGGCCCAACACTCTTTCAGACACAAGCCTCCTCATTACATCATCTCAGAGAGTCCAGGTTTCAATCAAACTTAATTCAGACAACCTAAAAAGTTAGCTATGATCCCTGCATAGCCCCCTGAGAGTCTGACAACCAACAGAATACATTTCTTGCACAGGAACAGGAAGCTCAAGGACAAGACCAAGAGAGGGTATGTATACCTCTGTCTCTCAAGTCCATGTGTTCAGCTGCCCAGGACCTCAAACCCATGTAGTCCTGTCCATCAATAAACCATCTTTCCAATCAGCCTCAATGTTTCCAGTGTCTTTCTCCCCACTTGGAACTGAAGCACATGTATATTTCTTCCAACAATCCCAAAGGTGCTTTTTCAAGAGGCAGCTGGACTTTCTTATTTTTCTTTGAGTGTTTTTCCTTGCAGCTTAGCCACTTTCACCGAAAGATGACTAAACTCATTCGCAGGCAAATGCTTAGATCAAGAAGGAGCAAGTGAAACCATTCTTGCAAATGATTGGAAAGCAGAATCTATGAAGCACAGTAGGCAAGGGATGGGATTTTCTGAGATTTCCAAAGACTTTTCGAAATAGCTTTGCCATTATTTTGAGTATGGTATGTTTACTTTCAAAATATTAGGAAATTGCACCATTATTTTGGTTTGCATTGGGCTCTGGGAGCCACACAAGAAAATTTAGAGGCTGCCTTTGGCTTTGGTAAACTTGTAGTTTGTCCTATAGTAAATCTTTAATCCCATGAATGTTGACTAGGGTAATGTTTCTCAATTTTAGCAGTTTTTTAGGTGTCTGGACTTTTTGAGAGTTGAAGTCTACCCATTTTAAAATTGTTGAGATTGACAAATGCTGGACTATGCTGGGTTTCTGAATAAAGATGCACAGGGTTGAGTTAACTGTCATTTTTCCCTTCTCTCTTTCCACTCCCTCTTTGCCCCTTCCCCCAAATTCTTTGATATTACCATTTAAGGCTTGCTGGAAATTGGACAGAAGTTTGACAATAACTTCATTTCATTACTGGCATGCTTTACATTCCAGCATTCCATGTATTTATTTATTTATTTATTTTATTCAATTTGTATACCGCCCTTCTCCTAGTGGACTCAGGGCGGTGCACAGCCAGAACTAAAACACATAACAATACAAAATTTAAAATTATTAAAAGAATTATATACTTTGGCCCGAATTTAAAACAATTCGAATTAAAACCCATTAACAGATTAAAAGCTAAACAATTAAAAAACTAAAAAAAGGGGTGGGGTTCACGCTAGCCCTGCTTGATGGAAAAGAAAAGTTTTCAGGACACGGCGAAAGACCCGGAGATCCGATATCCTTCTTATCTCCGGGGGCAAATCGTTCCAGACAGCGGGAGCTGCCACAGAGAAGGCCCTCCCCCTGGGGGTCGCCAGCCGACATTGCCTGGCTGACGGCACCCTGAGGAGTCCCTCTCTGTGGGCGTGTACTGGTCGGTAGGAGGCTATCGGCGGCAGAAGGCGGTCCCGCAAATACCCAGGTCCTATGCCATGGAGCGCTTTAAAGGTGGTAACCAACACCTTGAAGCGCACCCGGAAGACCACTGGAAGCCAATGCAGCTCACGCAGGAGAGGTGTCACATGGGAGCGACCCCTCGCTCCCATAATCCCCCGCGCGGCCGCATTCTGCACCAGTTGGAGCCTCCGGGTACTCCTCAACGGGAGCCCCATGTAGAGAGCATTGCAATAGTCCAGGCAGGAAGTATGTGATGGTGGTAGAAAAGAGACCACTGGCTTTTAAAATGCTGAGTGCACATTTTCTTCTTCTGTCTCTTGGCAAAGCTTTTCAAATACTGAGGCATCTCAATTAGGTCACATGTGGGAAAAACACTGAACCACAGGCCGCAAGGAAGTTCAATAGTTTCCTGTGAAAAATGTTGCTGAACGTTTGCAGCAAAGCTTTTGTTCTTTCTGACTAAGAAGCTCAGAGACTCAGAGTGAAAATGCTTCCTTTATCATCTTTCTGATAAACTGCTATTGTTTGTTTAATACTAGCTGCATGTTTAATTCTCTTTCAAATTATCAGCCTACTCCAAATGCTTTTCAAGTTGAAAAACAGGAATTGAATGTTTGAAATAAATATATTTTGCAATTGTCTTTTATTCCATACACTTCTTATTACTATTTGTTTTATTTTTATTCTGCTCTTTCTCAGATTCTAATTGAAGATGCTTTTGACTGAGTGTCCCTAGAAGACAAACTATGAATACAGAGAGTGAAATATGTAAATTGAGCAAAACTCACAATAAGAGCAAGAATACGAGCAAGAGCTTCCATTCCCACCATTAATTTCATGTACAGTGACATTTGCACAAGTGGCTTGTCTCCTGTATTCCATTCATCATGCTTCAGATCACAAGGTTCCCAGGGCCAAACATAGGATTCCCAAGGATTTCCTGATAAAGGGCTTGGTGATACCCCCCAAGTTGATCAATAAACTCTTGGGAAAGGCAGAGATGGGGAGCACCCCTGCTGACTCTAGAAATGGCTTTCATCAACCACCATAACTGTGCTAAGCTATAGTTAAGTATACAAAGAGTAAGACTGACAGTGTATCTTGTACTTGTTTCTGTCTGCTTCCCCTCCTATGCAATTGCAAAGTGGCTGAAAGTCTGCACTTCTATTTTTCATTGACTATAGCTTCATGTAAAATATGAAACACAAACAGTGAATCTTGTTTATCTTTATTGGAAACAATCATCTTTTTTTATCTGAAGTTTGAATCTGGTTTGTTTGGTAATTATAACTAATCTTAAGTAGTTTTTAAGGTGTAGCTATAACTCTGATCTGGAGGTGAACTTTCAAATTTCTCCACATGACTACCCTGGAAATGGGACAATCATTTTATTTTTGTAATGAAAAAAAGCATTACAATTCTTTTTTTAAAAAAATATTCCCATTCCTACACAAACATCAATGTTCCTCCACACAGGTACAAATAAAATTGGAAGTCATTTTTCTTTATTTCTTTTCTTATTTCTCTCATTCCACTTGTCACTTTCCAACTTTTCTGTCTTTTTGATCCCCTACCATTTTTTAAATCTTCTGCTCTTATTTCCATTCAAATTTCTTCTTTTTATTGCTTTAAATGCCATTCTCTGTGTATGCAGTAGTGGGTTTCAAAACCTGTCGCTACCGGTTCACTCAAGGGCACGTGCACGTGATGCTTCTGTGCATGCACAGAAGCGTCTGGGCAAGTGGGAAAGCCTCCTGCTGCCCCCGCTACTGGTTTATCCAATCTGGGGCAAACCAGTAGCAACCCACTACTGTGTGTATGTATTACAAAAGTATAATGCAAAACTACAAAGATATAGTATAGGGCATATAAATATGGAACAATGTAAATTTGGACAAATTTTTTAAAAAATTTGAAATAGAACAAATATAGAATAAATTTCAAATTTCTTCTTTTTATTGCTTTAAATGAAATTTTCTGCATCTGTATTACACAAATATAGTGCAAAACTACAAAGATATAGTATAGGAAATATAAATATAGAACAATGTCATACAAGAAAATACTTACATTGCTTGAAAACAACAGCAGTCATACAATCGTTAAAACAGGCCAAAGCCTCTCTAATCATGAAGTCCTACATGGCTTTTTGTGTGGGAATAATAAGTTACTCTGAATCTTCTCATTTTCCAGTTTTCTAGTTGTTTCTAATCTATTTGCCAACAGCCACACTTTAAGCCTGCTCAGAGTTGGCTGGCTAACCAAGTTTACAGGCATTGCAATGCTAATATGGAAAGCAAAAGTATTTCCTCTGAGATAAGTATACAACACAAAGGCACTTAAGGTCTTTCTTTTATGCGTCAGGTGGTTTCGGATGAGGGCATGATTTGGAGGGAGCAACCTGTTGTTGCAGTTCAGAAGGAGGTAACCTGCTTTTTTGAGATTGTGGATTACAGCCAGAAGAAACAGAAATCTCAGGAAGTTTCCTTTGTTGCATGTGATTCTCAATCTGGATTTGCAGGGCATACTCTTCAGCTGCAATAAGGACAAACAAACAAAAACTCTGAGTAATACTGATTGACCTAACTGAAGAGCAGCAGTACAACATCAGCTCTGGGTGGCACAAATTTTATTCAGAATATCACAAGGGTAAAGTAGCATAGGATTATTGTCAAGTACTCAATTTCCATTACTAATTTAATTCTGGACAAAGGCAGACAGTCTCAGAAATGAAGAACTTGTCATATCAAAATTTCCAATCCAGCACCAAAGTCTAAATCATCCTTTCCCAAATTGGTAACATTACATGTCCTTACAATAGCCAGCATTGAAATGAAGAGCTGTAATCCAATATATTTGGGGACTATTGGTTGGGGAAATCTGCATTACGATGACTTTATTATCACTTGGCTGCCTTTTGTCTCTCATCATCCAGTCATCTCTACTTGATATCACATTGTTTTTTTTTAAAAAAACTTATTTCAGGACACAGTCTCAACAAGCCTTGGGTAAATCATCATCATCATCATCCACTTTAAAAAGTAAACATGGATCAGAAATAAAGAATATCAATTAATTGAAATATAGAAAAATAGATGTACTGTACAAAATTCTTAGGTTGCACAACTCTAGAAATAGTAAAATACAAAAAAGGCCATTCTCATAAAAAAAAAAATAAGCTAGATCCTAAATCCTACTGACAAAATATATGTAATTAAATCAGATATAATTAAGCAATATACAATATAAAAGGCAGGAAAATCTACTATCAAGACTAATCAGAAGCTACAGAGCCTAATCAAAGGATTGCTCCTATTCGTTAAAGTAAAACTAAAGAAATTGAGGAACAAGAAAGTCATTTGACATCCAAAGAATAAAATTACAAAATAATGGGACTAATTCTGAAAGACTCTCAACTTTGACTTCCCTGTTGGAGTAGTGGGGATTGCCAAAAGTACCCAAGGAAGCTGACTAAGTAGATTTTGTTGAGATGTTCCTGCTCAACGGTGAAGATAGGGAGAAGTACCATATTGCATTCCCCCAGAGACTGAAGAGATTTTCTAGGGATAGAAATTATCTACCCCTAATTAGAAACCAGGACAGGATTGTGAAGTTTATGAGAAACAAAAGGACATTATTAAAGTTTATTGTTTAATTTGGCAGGACAAATTTAAGCATAATCATTCTAACCCAAGTTTAATACTGTTTAAAGGTTAATTTAACAAAATCAAATCTAGTTTTTGTCTGCTCTTTGCTAATCTTTGGAATATGTCCCATGACGGAGCATTTAAGGTGAGGTTTTCCAAAAATCTATGCTTCGCAGAGAAAAAAGAAAAAAAAAACATGTACCCACTCAGCACATTTTAATAATTTTCATTTTTAAAAATGAGGAAACAATTCGATTTGCAATCACAAATTACAAATTATTTTATTTAATTCAGCCTTGTAGAGATCAGGCTGAAAGGCAGAGGAAAAAAAATCACCCACTTTTATAAAAAATCAGGCTTTTTTGGACACATTAAGTAAAATGCTGTATTTTCTCTCTGTTTCCTTTCTTCCCTTCCTGCATGGGCCAGACCTGAACTTCAGTTTTCATTAAAATATATCGAGAAATTAATTTAGGGCATATATATTTCACAGTGACTAATAGATTTAGCATGCTTGATTGTTAGAAAGAGAGAAGCTTGTTCAGTTTTAAATGGAAGGAATGCCAGGGAGGGAATTACCTTCCCTTTCACGTCTTTTTGCGTTCTTCCTTCTGATGCAGTAAATAATCAAAGCCAAAAAGATCATCAATGTGACTACACTTCCCATGATTATCAGGATGAGGAATATAGGTACTGAATCAGGTAAATCTGAAACACAGAAAAATTCATAAGAAAATATTGTATGTATGTAGTTATACAAATTCATGCATGCACATAGAGAAGGGAAAGCGAGCATATACAAAAGAGGAAAAAAAACAGTCTATTATTTTTTCCGCCTTCCTAACATGTTTAAAAAAAGGGAAAAAACACAAAGCTTTTATTCTTGGCTTCCTTAAAAATGGTTTCTTGAATATATCACAATTGGCATAAACGATCAACCCACAATTTCATTTAGCATTTATTCATGTAACTGATTTGCTCTGTCACAATTACAGGTACTGTATATATTTAGATAAGTTGAATATTTCACAATTGACTTAATTCATGTTAAAAATTACAAATTACCACTCAGTCTGAATTTACACATTAAGCCAGAAACTAAACAAACTGTATTACGGTTTATATATTTAATATTCCAGGCTATATAGTCTAGCATTCAGAAGTGTGTTACGAAGCTAAGTTAATACCTTCTCCTGGACATGTTATTTGTTTCTCGGTATGATTCTTCCCAGAATTAACATCAACCTCACATCTGAATTTTCCAGAAAGGACTTTTAATTGCAATGTCACCTTCCATGTTCCATTGTCATATACTGGTTGTACAAACATTTCTTTACTATCTTGAAACAATTTAAATTTGGGTTTTGGTTCCTCAGAAGATTTCACCTCACATGTCAATATTCTTTGGGAACAAAGCTCATCGAGTTTTAGTGGAAGCTCTGAAAGAAAAGAAATATGCTCTGCTAAATGATTTAAATACATCATTTTTAAAAAAAAAAAAACAATAATTGCGTAATAGAGGATTAAATCTTTATCTTTTTCGACTACTATTTCCATGCAGAACCATGGTGGCTTAGAAGTATAAAAGGCAATATTTCAGGCTCTGTGTATGGCCAGGAGTTCGATCCTGACTGGTTCAAGGTTGTCTCAACCTTCCATCCTTCCAAGGTCGGTAAAATGAGGATCCTTTTGGATATTCGGATATTCTGCAGCAATATTATGCATTGTTTTAATTCTTTGTTTTGGATCGTATGCATGTAGTGGTGCTGACAGATCATTTTTAGCCCCAATTGTTGGCTCTCCAGATGTTGCTAAACTACAAAGCCTGGCATCTCTTTTTGCCAAACTGTCTGGTGCTTCTGGAAGTTGTTATTCAACAACATCTACAAGGCCACAGATTTCCTATCCCTGCTTTATTATGTTCCATATCTTTCCAGTCCCATACAACATCATCTAACATCAACATGAAACTGTTGATGTCAGTGTTGAATGTTTTCCAGTGGCAGACAGAATTTCTTGGCTCACTTCAATCTATTGGTATTTGTTAGAGACTTGGGAATCTAAGATGTTATTTTCTGAAGGTTATCTATCTTATTAATGCTGATCAATTTTTCAAAATTTATAATAAAGACCATATGGGAATATCACCCACAGAAATCCAACTATGGCCAATCCTACATGCCAATTTGAAGGACAAAGAAGTAAAAGAGAGGTGCTTGTAGGTTGATGAAGGGTAGACCGGTATTCAAAAACTCACCATCAACTTGCAACATAATTAATTCATTAAATAACTCCTGGCCATATTTATTATATGCTTTTACTGTGTAATTTCCGGCATCCATTTTCTTCAATCTATTTATTTTCAGAGTTCCATTAAGAAATAAGTGGTATTTATCTGGTTGTTTTGTTGACATAGTAATCTTATTAGCTGTACGATCTGCAATAAACATTGAGTCCTTAGTCCAGATTAAAATATGTGGTCTGGAACTGGGTCTGGGTCTGGGAAGAATAATTTGGTTTCCAATATAACTGTGAATCTTGACATTCTCGGACACAGAACCTACAAAAAAAATGAACAATTTTTTTCCCTTAGATTATCAGTGGAAAAATATGTTCTTACTGCTTTTTAAAATTTATCAGTTTCCTACATATCTTATACAGGGTTTCATCTTCCAAAGAAATTAACATCAGTGTTAAACACATTGCCTTGATTTAAAGTAGTTTGCACATATAACAGTGGTAAGCCTAGAAAGTGTTTGCTGCCTACAGAAGCAATTATATTAAAATCAGTGCTGTTTTGTATTATTTGGGACAAGTTTCATAATGATCGGCATTCAGAAGAGCCTGTTATAACAGAATAACAGAATTGGAATGTATCTTGAAGGTCTTCTAGTCTACCCCCCTGCTCAAGCAAGAAACCCTACACCATTTCATACTGTTGTCTAATATCTTCTTCAAACCTCCAGTGTTGGAGCATCCACAACTTCTAAAGGCAAGTCACTCCATTGATTAATTGTTCTAGCTGTCAGGAAATTTCTCCTAAGTTCTAAGTTGCTTCTCTCTTTGGTTAGTTGCTTCATGTTCCTGTGTTGACATGCACAATAGAACTTTCAACCCTGAAGCTGGCCTAACTAAGGCCATTTTGAGACTTCAGTACTGACACACTGGAGAAGAGGGATAGGGAGGGGAGAATAGAGACAGTTGGGGTGTTGCAGTCAAAACAAAATACTTTCTCTTGGGAACCAAGGACATTCCCGCAGGTGCTTTGAAAGGAGGGGACTGGAGTCACCTAGCAACTGGACAGTATCCTGATTGGACCATATGACTGATTATTTTGAGAAAGTGACAAACTTTTAGTTTTAATTAGGTGAAAACCATGGGAATAATTAGAATCGGTTTTCACCAGCCTGTGCCAATATGCCATATCCAATGAACCTATTCTTTGAGGAAATGGCCTGCCTCAGAGTTTTGTTTGCTATGGGTCGTGTACTTGGAACCCTGACAAAAACTTTACTTTAAAAAAAATTAACTTATCCAAACCAACTTCCCTTTTACTCATGTATATATTGTTAAAGATAATACCTTGAATAAATAGTAACTATATAAATATACCCAAGTTGTTTTCTTTGGCAACTATACAGAAACAGTTTGATAATGTCTTTTTCAGAATGTTTCCTTTAACTTCCTAGCCTAGTCTATTGCTCTGAGATTTCTGATGGTTTCCATCCAAATATCAATCATATCTAACCCCAATTTTAATTGTTTGCCATACTAGCAGTCGTGGGATTCAGCCAGTTCATACTGGTTCAGGCAAACCAGTAGCTAACTTTCTGAACAGTTTGACGAAATCTCCTTCCTTTTCTTTTTCCCACCTTATGAACTTCATCCTGTCAGGAAGGCAGGAAGGAAGCATTCTGGTGTGCCTGTGTGTGTTGTTTCTAGCCTAATCCTTATCTTTATTATTGCCCTGCTTAAGTGTTTCAAAAACAGAATACAAGCTCAAATTCAAAGCCCAACAGAAGGCATAACACCTCAATACAAATTTTCACTCATCCAGCCCACAAACTGGAAGACATTTCTATGTTCTCCTCTGTGCTGATAATGCAGATGATTCAAAAACACCTATTGGCCTTAGAGGGGTATTGAGAACACTAACATGGTATTGCAAGGAAGACTAGTTAGTACTTAATTATCAGAAAAGCAAAATTTTGGCATTTGCCATAAGGCAAAGGCCCAAGAACCTTGGCCAAAAGATTGACCAGGTCTCCGGTTTCAAATACCTGGGGTAATCCTTCATTCTACCAACAGTAGGAAACCTCATGGGAACTATGTTGTGGAAAATGCACAGAGGTGCTCATCTGCCATCCTTGAATTTCAAGACAAGAGGAGGCCACAATTTACCTGCAACATTCAAACTATTCAAAACTGAGCCAATAGCACAACTTCTTAATGGTGCCCAGTTGAGTCCCATTTCCTATTCTACATCATTAGAACTTGTTAAATCCAAGTTTTTTAATATTGGGCCTTTAAGTCCAAAAATGTGTATCTGATAACACCCTGAAACTGGGTGTTATCATATACATATTTTTATACAATAGGCCTCTTGAAAATGGAGGCTAGAATATAGGTGATTGACTCAAACTATTTTTTCCCCTTAACTTTGCTCCATTAACTAGTTTAATTCATGTGAAAAAAGGCAATGGCAACTAAAATCTCATCTTTGACTTTTTCTCCAGGTTGTCTACTCAGCATGAATATGATCAGCCCAAAGCACTCATTAAACAGCCTGTAGTAGCTACAGAGCAATAATTGGACCTAGCCATGCCCTAATCTTTATTGCCAGTGAATCCAACAGGTATTCTGTCTTTCTTATGACATATTTAATTACTATTGAAATATCTAACTATTGGAGGGCATATACTCTGGCACAACATTATGCAAACATAGCTTATTGTGAAGGCTGAAAATGGTGAATTCCCTGCCCAGAAAGACAAACACTCCTGGGCAGTGGTGGAATTCAATTTTTTTTACTACCTGTTCTGTGGATGTGGCTTGGTGGGTGTGGTGTAGCTTGGTGGGAGTGGCTTGGTGTGCATGGCAGGAGAAGGATACAGCAAAATCCCCATTCCCTCCCCACTCCTGGGGAAAGGATACTACAAAATCCCCATTCCCACCCCACTCTAGGGCCAGCCAGAGATGGTATTTGCCGGTTCTCCAAACTACTCAAAATTTCCACTTCCAGTTCTCCATAACCTGTCAGAACCTTCTGAATAGCACCCCTGCTCCTGGAATTCTGGACACAGAGAACACGACCTTATGAGATGATAAAGAGATGCTACCGAAGGAATAGTCAAACAAGAGGCAGCATAGCTCATAACTGGATACTGATCAGGGCAAAAGGTTCAGAAGAGATCCTCACTAGTTTCTCAGGCTATAAAGGAGACAGAGGTGGGATTGTACTTTCAGACTTGCAAAATTTTGTCAGTGTAGCTTTATAATAAACTAGAATTAGGTCATCTGGTTATCATCCCTAACTGGTTTATCCATATGGCCAATACATGTACATGTACTTGCCGTAATAAACAAAAAGTGATGGGAAAGTATACATAAGACCTTTACTTTTTCAAAGGCCCTGAAGAAATGTTTCTGGGAATCCCAAAGTGATTCAGATTGATCAAGTGGCTTGTTTGATGGTGTTCATAGCCTTAGGGAATGGGAGAAGTTTTAAATTGTGGTATTTTTATTGCTGTATGTACCTGGAGTCATAATGTGTGAGTTGGATAACCACATAAATTTGTTTAATAAATAAATAAATAAATATATGCTATAGAAAACTGGACTTTTTGTAAATGTTTTGCTCCATGTGGATTTGAGTTATTTCCATGCATACATTATTTTATTTGGCTAAAGCAATTTCTGTGGGAAGAATTATGTTGAAAAACTAGAATACAGGTAGTCACAACAAGAATTGAGCCCACAATTTCAACCATATGACGTAACAGTTATAAAGTGGGTCACCAAGTGACCAGATATTATTTTATGACTTTTTTGTGGCTGTGATCAAGCAAACACGGTGATCGCAAAGCAAATGTCACAGCTGATAACTGAATGCCACAGTTGTTAAGCAAATCTATTTTTCGCTATGGGGAGGGATTTTGCCAGAAACTGGAAATAAACATCAGTTTCTGCCAAAAAAGCCAAAAATTGCAGTCATGTGATCACAGGGTGCTGCAAATAATTGTAAATGCAGCTGTTAACAAGCATTTAAAATGTAGTCATGTGATCATGGCAGGACCCCAGACATTAGAATTTTGACTGTGGGGATAAGCAGCTTTTTGGATATCTGCTGTAACTTTCAACAGTTGCTAAGCAACCTGTCATAAGCACAGACTACCTGTATAATCATAGCCATTTCACAAAGCCCCAAAAATCATTACAAATGCTTTGAGGAATGTAAAAATAGGCCTTTTTTAGCTTTGCATTCCATTTCTCCCAAATGCTCAGATTGCCATTTAGTTGACTACTCATCCAATTTAATAAAATCCTTTTCATAACTACTTTTGTTTTTTATAATCATGAATATTTTAGTATTGTCTACAAACTGCTTACCCTTAACTTTTATGAACAAATTAAAAATACTGGTCTAAACATAGGTCCTTGAAGGAGTCTATTTCTTTTTTCTCTTCTGCCTATTCTCAGCTATGAGCTTTCATTTAAATTGTGAGTCTGCAATTAGATTAAGAGGAGAAGGAAAAGGAGAAGCTAATAACATATGCATTCCCTTCCGTCCAAATTGTGATAAACCTAATGAAACATAAAGATAATTAGACCTATAGGGATATGTTTATGACAATAGAATAGAATAGAATAGAATAGAATAGAATAGAATAGAATAGAATAGAATAGAATAATAACTTAATTGTCACTTTGAATATACACTAATCGGCATGCATTAAAATGAAATTTCGTAGCGTACAGCTCTCAAAGGGTCACCACCTCCAATATACACTACATAAAAATGACAAAATAAATAAATAAATAAATAAACAAACAAACAAACAAATAAATGCAAAATTATGTATATATCCACAAATAATATATGACACAGAGAAACAACACAGTCTAGTTCGGATGTATACATGTACTGTACATGGCGAGTTTAACAGACAGATGGCATAGGGGACAAAGCTGTTACAGAATCAGTAGTCCTGCTAGAAATACTTCAAAACCTCCTCCCAGAATGTGATTGTGATGGTGCTACTTATTATCATATATGGTGGACTTGTAAAAAAGTTAAAGCATTTTGGATCAAAATATGGTGGATTATCCAAAATATTCTTAAAAAGAAGATAAAGTTTACTCCACAGTTGTTTTTGTTGGGTATAATCACAGATTGTACGGTTATAGAGACTAAATTGATCTTAAATTTAATAATTGCAGCTAGACTTTTGGTGGCACAATATTGGAAGAAGGAAGATCTGCCTACTATTGAAGAATGGACATTAAAAGTAGCGAATTTAGCAAAAATGGCGAAAATTTCAGCTTATTTGAAAGATCATTTACAAGAAAGATATATATCGGAATGGAGAAGATGGATTGATTATATTCAAAACAAATATTGGACTAAAAAGTATCAAATAGCTTATGAATGAATAGAAAAATTAAGAGTATTCATATTTAGTTAAGTAAAAGGGGGGTTAAAGTGTGAAGGGGGGATAGGAATCCATAGATAGTTAGCTTAGTTTAGTATATGATTGTTAATTGTTATACCCTGTATTTTGCTCTGGGAAGTCCTGGGGAGGGGGTTGGGGGAGTAAGGAAGGGAGGGGGGATGAGGAAATATTTGTAAAAAAAATTTTTTAAACTCTTTAATAAAAACAATTGTGAAAAAAAAACCCTCCTCCCAGAGGGGAGCAACAGAAATGGACCGTAAAGTGTGTGCATGGGGTCTCTAACAATGCTTTGAGCAGATAGCACTTACAAGCAGTATCCTGAATGACAGGAAGCGAGCTTCCTATAATCTTCTCGGCTGTCCTTACCAGTCTCTGTATATACTTTCTATCTGAGGCACCGCTGCCACCAAACCAAACAGTGATGCAATATGTTAAAATGTTCTCAATTGTGCCTCTGTAAAAAGTGGCCAGGACAAAAGGAGAAAGATGTGCTCACCTCATCCGATGCAAATGCTGGTTTGTACCCTTCACTAAGGATGATATGTGGAGAGACCAGTTCAGATTGTACTGATTACTAACCTGTACAGCTGCATCCTTGATTATAAGTGGAATATGATGCTGGCTCTTTCTAAAATCTATAATACCTCCTTTGTTTTATTAACATTTAATAGGAGACAGCTGGTTCGGATCAGAGTGATGAAGAAACATCATTCCTGGACGCACGCCTCTGAAGGCGTGATAAACGTTTGCAGCAGCTTAGGAGGCGTGCTAGGGATTAGAATTGAGTCACTGGACCACACCCCAGAGACTATATAATAGAGGGTGGTGGTCAAGGATCCTTGTGACGAACAAAGCAAACCTTGGATAGTCACTAAAGCCTCGTCCGGAACTGCTGAGAGAAAGATTTAAAGTGTCGGACATTTGGACTCTTGAGTATTTATCTTTCTGTTTTACTGTGAAAATAAAGTCACTTGGCAGACGGTGTGTCTATTGCTGCCAAGTGGGAGATAAGACCTGGGTGCGTTCCAAAGTGTTTCCTTAACCCTCGGCTGGCTGTGTTTGTGTGTGTGTGGGTACGGGGACAGATCAAAGCATAATATTAAAAAGGTTTCTTCTTTCCCAGGTTAATAAGTTTGTTGCCCAGAGATTTAAGGTAGCTTATTTATTTATTTAGAGTATGGCGATGGCACAATTAGTCAAGAGATTACAATGTTAGTACCTAATAGTTAGGACCCAAATTGTTGGGGACAAGATGCTGACTCTGTAAACTGCTCAGAGAGGGCTGTGAAGTACTGTGAATTGGTATATAAGTCTAAGTGCTATTTGTCTGCCAAAGAGTTAAGATAGCTTTTCTCAGCCTACTGCCAATCAGATGCACTGGATTTTCAATCCATTAATATCCTATTTTAAATTCTAAAGCATCTGAAAGGTATCACATTTGGGAAGAAGTTCTTTAAAGTTAAAGCAAAGTCTGTACTGTTTTTCATTAGAAGGAGGAAAACGCTCCTAATTTGTCTATGGAGATTTTCAGTCATGCAGGTCATGGTTGTCCCAAAGGTGCTTTTTCAAGCGGCAACTAGACTTTCTGGTTTTCAAGGGTGAAGGGACACAGGGCAGAAAACATCCTACAGAAATCACAGGTCCACAACACAGTCCTTTCAGCAAGTCTAAGAAGGCTCCATACCCATTTGCATTACTCAGGTGACCCTGAGGACACAGACAAACTTCCAAGTGGCCTCAACGACTCTCCAAAAGAATGCAAATGACCAGCTGTCTGCATGAAATATAAATCCTTCCATTCTCCAGCAACCAAGTCAGAACTAAAGAAGCTTCTTGGATGAGAAGCGAAACATCTTCAAAGAAAAACAAGAAAGTCCTGTTCCCTTTTGAAAAAGCACCTTTGGGACTCCTAATTTGTTTTGTTGATAAAATTCTGAATGGCAGTTATATTTTTCATTGCACTGCTTAAGGGTAGTCAGAAAGGTTATCACTAAACATTTCACATTCAACATTTTCTCAAGCATTCTTCCCAACTTCAATAGTTCATTATAGTAATGTTCCCATAGATAAACGTAATCTGTTTTTGGTTCAATCCTATTTATCTTTGGGACTGTTAGCAACAGGTAGAAAATACCTACCCAGTATAGGCCAGTTGGGAGGGAGCATTATGGGTATATATAACCAAAAGATTAGGAGGAAAAGGGCTTCACATTCAGGAACAGCTTGCTCCGGTGGTCAAAATAACACATACCTTTCTCATATTTAGGAAAACTATAAAAAGTACATTTCAGAGCTTTTGTTATAGAAAAATCCACTTAATTTGACAGTAAAGATGGTAAATAAATGGATTCTATTTTATTTCAAATGGGGTTCAGTATGGTATTTTATATTTTATGTATATAGCTTAATGTGCATATAGTTTAATATTTTCCAAATAATAAAATCCTAAATGAAAAGAGTGTCAATTGAAATTTTGATAGAAGTGTTCTGTTTTTATTGCCTATTACAAATATAATTTTTAAGAAAGCAATTTGGCTGATTCTAAACTATTTCAGGTTTGTTATTTTTCAGTATTTGCATTACAATACTATTTTTCTCTGATAACCTTTTTGTAAATGTATTAAACTGCTGGGTGTTCTCAAGTATTCACAATATTGCATCCTATGTTCCATAACTTCTAGAATGTCCATAGCTGACTTTCATAAACATCAATAAACTTGTACAAAACCTAAACTCTACTAAATCCTAGGAGACTCGTTTCCAATCTTAATAGTTGTAAGTCTAAATAAGTGATTAAGATTAAGACTTGGACTAGGAGGACCCAGGTTTTAGTCCACTCTCAGTTGCAGCAACTAAATGGGAGATTTGGGACCAATCTTTTTCTCTAAGTCCAATGTCTCAAAGACTAGCCTAAGGACATTCACTAACGTTTCACTGACACCTTCAAATCCAACATCTTAGCCCCTGAATACCCTCCTTTCACTTTCAAAAATTTTATTTTAATAAATACTAAACTGTAATAACGTTGTTACTACAGTGAAAACATTTGCAATAAGAGTTCTTCACATTTGCAAAGAAATTCAAAGAATGTTGCATTTTTAAACTCACCTTCCAAGCTGAACAAGATCATTAGGAATTTAATTAGGAATGGGTTGCCCAAATTCATGTTCAAGGCTGTATTTATCTAGAGAGACAAGGAACTATATGACACAGCTTATAGTATCTGACACATGTACATCACATTGTTCGTTTTTTCTTCCTCTTCCTCCTTCCCTCCCTCCCATCACCCATGCCATTTGCACTTCAGCTTTTCTTTCTCTAGAAATGAAAATAGCAGAGTCAGTTATAATGGCTATCAGTATCTTTATAAACAGATATTGAAAAAATATACAACTGGAGTTTTTTTCCTTTCCTTCAAAATCTTTATTTTCTTCTATGATTTCAAAGAAAAATTGAACAAGGTTTATTGGTGTCAATAATGCAGCAGGAGGGTTACATTCAGCAATTTTCTATACAGACCACATATGTATCTCTGTCAAATTATTAGAATCATGACCAACACATCAAAAGAGAGGGGACTTGATTTAACATTAAGTAAAAGTAGATGCTTTATGCTGAGCAAATTTTTGCTCTTATCAAAATGTATAAATAAGAGAAAATTATTGTGTACATAAATATATATGTAAATATGTAAGTGAATAGCCTTGAATTCTGTATTATGGTGCACATATTGTAGATTTTCTGCTTAATTCACTAAAATAATATGACAGAAGAAAGTTTGCAGTAGAATAAATTATTGCTTAGCAAATGATTCAATTTTGTGTAGGAAGTAAGTCAATTCTTTGTGATGTCCCCTTGTTTAAGATATTTATGAAGATAGAGATAAGAAATGGTTGCAGCAACATGACATGTGCTGGTCTGGGACAGAAATGTGTTGTTAGTGGGAACCTAAAAAATCCCGCACACATTAAATATTAGATAGATTGTCTGATATAAGAAGGATGGATCTGAAAAAAAATGTGCTGAATACCAAAACAGTTGTATTTAGGTTTAGGTTTAGGTTTTATTAAATTTGTATACCACCCTATTCCCGAAGGACTCAGGGTGGTGAACAGGCACAGGATAAAATACAGAAATACAAAAGTTAAAAACAATTTAAAACCAAATTAAATAATATTGGCCCACGACAATTAAAATCCCAATAAATTTAAAACAAATTAAAATTTCAATTTAAAATTTTAAAAGAAAGGGGAGAAAAATTAGGCCAGACCAGCTTGCTGGAATAAAAGGGTCTTAAGAGCACAGCGGAAGGTGCGCAGATCCGGGATCCTCCGTATCTCCGGGGGACGCTTGTTCCAGAGAGTGGGTGTCCCCACAGAGAAGGCCTTCCCCCTGGGGGCCGCCAGTCGACACTGCTTGGCTGACGGCACCCGGAGGAGACCCTCTCTATGAGAGCGTACTGGCCGGTGGGAAGCTATTTGTGGTAGTAGGCGGTCCCGTAAATAACCAGGTCCTAAGCCATAGAGCACTTTAAAGGTGGTAACCAAAACCTTAAAGCACACATGGAAGACCACCGGGAGCCAGTGGAGCTCGCGCAGGAGAGGTGTTACACGGGAGCGCCATGTTGCTCCCATAACCACCCACGCGGCCGCACTCTGCGCCAGTTGAAGCCTCCGCGTGCTCCTCAAGGGGAGCCCCATGTAGAGAGTATTACAATAGTCCAGGCGGACCATTTGATAGTGAAGATGCAAGTTATGCCAAAATATTTTTTAAAAAATAAGAGAAAGCGGTGAATTTATATTCCTTGGGAGAATATTAACCAAACACAGGAAAATGGATGCAAATGAAAATGACAACAAAAGGAAATGAGTAGGATATGGTTTGTTGTAAAAATGATTCTTTTTAATGAGAAAAGCAAAATGACTGCATACGACGGTGTGTCTTTAATTACTTTGTTATAGGAAACTGAGAGAATTTTAAAACAAAAAGTAAAAAGAAATTGAATTAAATGGAAATGACTTGTAGATAAAATAAAGATAAAATAAAGAATGAGTGGTGAATAAATTAAAATTGAATACAAAAGTAAATGCTTACCAAAAAAAAAAAAAACAATGATAAGGGAAATCACTAGAATATAAAATAAGAGCAACCCACTCTTTACTAGCACTGATAATGTTATGAATGATGATGATGTTTCGTAATGAAACCTCTGGAAGAAAATAACCATGCTGAGAAAGCACCAAGGACTCTCCATTTTAACTGTTGTTGCTATGTGAATCCTGTCAGTTTTGGAAGACAATTTTCTTTTTGCTTCTAAACTGCCACATATTTTAGCTGGGGAAGTTGGGAGGGGGTTGTTGTTGGAGCGGTAGAAAATTAGTCATAACAACATTCCGTACTCAAGGACTTTTGCCTGACTTTTGCCTGCGTCTGATGGAGACTGCCTGAAGATTGTATCCGGTGGAGTGTGAAGAGTTGATTGGACAATGTGATGAACTTGTGGGTGTGGGGCAGGGCTGTGAACTCTTAGCTGGGTGGGGAAAACCTGGAAGCTTCAGATTCGGGTTTTCCCAGATGTGCCAACATGACATCTCTAATAAATTAGAACTTTGAGGAAACTGAGCCGTCAGAGCTTTATTTTGTTGGGGGTGTTCCTTGGAACCCTGACATTAACCCAAATATCCTAAATAACTAAGCAGCACCCCGAAAGGGGACTGAATGGGGTGCTGAGCCCCAGCATCAACCTAAACTTTGGGTGGTGCAAAGACTCAGTGAAGATGGAAGGGAGACAGAAGATTGCAGAACAAATATAGAACAAATTGAAAATTTCTTCTTTTTTATTGTTTTAAATGCAATTCTCTGCGTCTGTATTACACAAATATAGTGCAAAACTACAAAGATATAGTATAGGAAATATAAATATAGGACAATGTCATACAAGAAAATACTTAAATTGCTTGAAAACAGCAGCAGTCATACAATCATTAAAACAGGCCAAAACTTCTCTAGTCATGAAGTCCTACATAGTTTTTTGTGTGGGAATAATAAGTTACTCTGAATCTTCTGATTTTTTAGTTTTGTTTCTAATCTATTTGCCAACAGCCACACTTTAAGCCTGCTCAGAGTTGGCTGGCTAACCAAGTTTACAGGCATTGCAATGCTAATATGGAAAGCAAAAGTATTTCCTCTGAGGTAAGTATGCAACACAAAAGCACTTAAGGTCTTTCTTTTATGCGCCGGGGTGGTTTCGGATGAGGGCATGATTTGGAGGGAGCAACCTGTTGTTGCTGTTCAGAAGGAGGTAACCTGCTTTTTTGAGATGGTGGATTACAGCCAGAAGAAACAGGAATCTCAGGAAGTTTCCTTTGTTGCATGTGATTTTCAATCTGGATTTGCAGAGCATACTCTTCAGCTGCAATAAGAACAAACAAACAAAAACTCTGAGTAATACTGCTTGACCTAACTGAAGAGCAGCAGTACAAAATCAGCTCTGGGTGTCATGAATTTTATTCAGAATATCACAAGGGTAAAGTAGCATAGGATTATTGTCAAGTACTCAATTTCCATTACTAATTCAAATCTGGACAAAGCTAGACAGTCTCAGAAATGAAGAGCCTGCCATATCAAAGTTTCCAATCCAGCACCAAGGTCTAAGTCAACCTTTCCCAAATTGGTAACATTACATCTCCTTACAATAGCCAGCATTGAAATGAAGAGTTGTAATCCAATATATTTGGGGGCTACTGATTGGGAAAATCTGCATCACGATGACTTGATTATCATTTGGCTGCCTTTTGTCTCTCATCTCCAGTCATCTCTACTTCATATCACTTTAAAAAAAAAAAAAAAAACTTATTTCAGGACACAGTCTCAGAAAGCCTTGGTAAATCATTATCATCATCATCCACTTTAAAAAGTAAACATGGATCAGAAATAAAGAATATTATTAATTGAAATATAGAAAAGTACAAAATAGATGTACTGTACAAAATTCTTAGGTTGCACAACTCTAGAAATAGTAAAATACAAAAAAGGCCTTTCTCATTAAAAAAAAATAAGCTAGATCCTAAGTCCTACTCACAAAATATACGTAATTAAATCAGATATAATTAAGCAATATACAATATAAAAGTCAGGAAAATCTACTATCAAGACTAATCAGAAGCTACAGAGCCTAATCAGAGGATTACTCCTATTCGTTAAAGTGAAACTAAAGAAATTGAGGAACAAGAAAGTCATTTGACATCCAAAGAATAAAATTACAAAATAGTGGAACTAATTCTGAAAGACTCTCAACTTTGACTTCCCTGTTGGAGTAGTGGGGATTGCCAAAAGTACCCAAGGAAGCTGACTAAGTAGATTTTGTTGAGATGTTCCTGCTCAACGGTGAAGATAGGGAGAAGTACAGGGGTGAAATGCTCCCAGTTCGGACCGGCTCGGGCGAGTAGGTAGCGATGGCAGCGGGCAGTTTGGAGAACCGGTAGCAAAAATCCCTTCCCCCCCAGCCTCCAGCTTCTTACCTTCGCATGCCTGCCTTGCTTCGCTTGCTGTAGTCCCTGCAATCCATTGCATCAGCAAGCAACTGAATCTCCCTGCCTGCAATCAAGCTCATTGGTGACAGCTCTTTCTGCCTGCCTGCCTGCCTGCCTGTAAGTTTTTTTCCCCTTTGGGAGCTTTAAAAAAATAGTTAATTGGGTTTTTTTTAGTTGTTCTTTTTTTAGACCTAGCCATTTAAAGTTTAGGAAGTTTTAAATTTAACTGCTTTTATATAAAAATAAAAATAAATAAAAATAAAATAATATTTGTGCAGCTTTCTGAGATTTAGTGTGTTTCTGTAGTGTTTCACTCTAACTACACAAACACACAAAATCTCACAAAGCTGTATGTGGAATTTTGTGTGTGTAAAGTGTGAAAGTTGTTTTTTTTGGGCTTTTTGTGGCTGTGTGAGGTTCCTGCTTGTTGCAGGGGCCATTTTGGGCCTAGCACAGCTGCTTTTACATTGTGGGTGAGCCAGTTGTGTTGTGTTGTGTTTTGTAGGTTAAAAAAGGGCAAAGAAGTGATGTTGACTTACCCACGCCCACCTGACCACCAAGCCATGCCCACCCACTCACCTGACGACCAAGCCACACCTACTAATTAAGCCACGCCCACAGAACCGGTAGTTAAAATTTTTAGAT